GTTCAGTTCTTGGTTTTAAAGGTTAAGGGGGATGCAGCACTCTTGATATTTGTTGCATTAGAAACATTTAGCTTTTAGCTATCTCCATCTGTTCCCACTTGAACTCACATTGGCTTTCTTGTTCATTTTTAAGGGGAGTCTGCAGCATTAAGAAGCCTACTGCTCAATCCACACCTTAGACAGTTGATGGTCAGCCTCGATCAGGGGGATAACAAGGCAAAACTCATGAGGGCCTGCATGCAAGAACCCTTGTTTGTAGAGTTTGCTGACTGCTGTTTACGGATTGTGGAACCATCCCAGGATGAGGATTCTTAAGATGGATTATTGTGCTGCTTGCTCAGTCGTGTGCGTGGCTCTCAGAACTTGCCTGCTCCTCCTCCCAGGAGAACAGCTAGTGTGGGGTCCTGAGCAAGGGTGGTGACTTCCAGGGCATAGGCCACCTGATGTAGGGTAGGCCGCATAAGTCTTTATGTCAAAAACTGTGGCATGGATTTCGGGCAAGATGGGGGACACTCAAGGTGGCAAGCCCTTTATGGAGAGAGAACTTGACATTCAGATAGTTGTCTTTAAATGTTTTGATTTTGGTACAGGTTAGACATTACAAATGATATCTTTTGTCAAGTTTTATACCCATTTGAATTAAAACTTCCTCAGTGTTGCTAAATGAAGATGTGATTCTCTGATAAATTGCATTGTTCATCCTTAGTTCATAATTGCTTGAAATTACGTTAAATAAATCAACATATTAAATAGTAAGGTTTTCTTTTTTTTTTTAATTTTTTTTTTTATGTTTATTCATTTTTGAAAGAGAGCACAAGCAGGGGTGGGGCGGTGAGAAAGGGGGACACAGAATCTGAAGTAGGCTCCAGGCTCTGAGCTGTCAGCACCAGGGCCCAATGTGGGGCTCAAACTCATGAACCATGAGATCATGACCTGAGCCGAAGTCAGATTCTCAACTGACTGAGCTATCCAGGCACCTGAGGGTTTTGTTCTTTTTAAAGGAACTAAATGCAGATATCCCAGTTGAAATTTTAGGGTTAATTTCAAGCTGACTTGACCTGTTCTGTTTGTGGGGAATCGAAGATGCCCAAAGGTAGTAAATGTGGGAAGTTCTCTGTGGCCCTGAGGTTTCTTAGTCATGGTTTGGTAACCAACCCGTGACATCTGTCAGGGCTTGAGATGTAGATGGGAGCCCCACGCCACTGGTGGCTGCAGCAGCCCTGGATTGCGGGCGGGAGCTGTTGCTTGCTCATGTGTACTTAGAGCTGCTGTGGGAGTAGTTTGGCAGCTTGGTGTCATTCAAATGTCTTTGGCAAGGCAGCTGGCAGGAAAAGGCCTTTTGGACACAAAGCACCAAAGCACTGCCCGGCCAGGTGAGACTAGAAGGTGAGAAGAACTCACACGTGGCCCAAGCTGTGTCTTTCCAGCATAACCTGATTAAAGCCAGTAACACTATAGGGTGAAGGTTCAGGGCAGATGTCAGTATAAGACAATGGACACTTTCTGCGGTGTAACTTGATGGAGCCCTAGAGAGAGAGAGATAGCTTATCTCTGGCTTCTAGGAATGCCACCTGTATGGGTGCCTAGAGCAAATGCTAGAAATGCAGGTCGTGGACAAGTACTGGTATGGTTCAGTTAACATTCTTTTCTCATTCTGAACTAGTGGCAAAGTCCAGAGTCCAAATATTTAATTTATATTAAAATATAAAATTTCATATCCATTCTTTGTGATGCACAAGGGAGCTCTCCCCTACTAGGAGTATTTATTACCTGTCATAAAACTACTTACAACTGGAAGAACAGTTATACTTCTGTTTACATTCTGGCTAGCCTGCGTGCTGTCATGGGAGATTTTATCCAGATTACGCCCTAGAGAGTAATTCCTCTGGTATGGAAATTCACTGTTTCCTTCCTTTTGCCTTGTCAGTGTCACTTAATCTTTGCTGTGACCCCATGTAGTAGGTTGAGTATTAGCCCACGTTCCATGCTGGTTCTTTTACTCTGACTGCCCATACTATAAAAACAGAACTCTTGGACGACTGACTTACCTGCTTGTTATTTGCTCCACTGGAACAGGAGATAAACCAAGTGATAATTTAAGGAAAATATGCTAAATCCAGTGCTATTTGAGGGAATAAGCTGTCATCAAAACCCAAATCTTTAAAAAGTGGGACAAATTCAATGAAGATTCAGAGGAGATGCCAGAAGACTTGGGCAGTTTTTAAAAAGTGAAAGGGTTCTGGAAAATTCCTAATTGTAATGATGGTAACAGCCCAGACCTGCAGCTAGCTGGGAATCTCAGGTTTCTGATTTCCTGAGCAGGGTCAGGATGGCTCTGGTCCCAGCATTAGTCCTGTTCCCACTGTGGACTCCTGGGCTTTGCTCCCTGCCTTCTATAAGATATGAGGGACCCAGAGCCATGGTGGGCAGGACTGCCATCCTGTCACACAGCTTACCTGAGGCAGCACTTGGATGGATGCAACACCAGCTTGTTCTTGTGCTGTCTGGACTGTGAAGCTACTTGGGCTGGCCATGGGGAGCTGGAGGCAGGCCCAGACCACCAGCTTCCTCTGAAAGCCGCATACACCCACAGCTACATTGGCCAAGTCCAGGCCTAGGGGCCAGAGATGGATTACTGCCACCAGGAGGCTGGTCTGTGCCTGGGGCAGCAGGCGGGAGCCCATGGGAAGAGGAACTTGACACGTGTTTTTCTTCTACACCATCTAGTTCTTTAGAAGCAAGGAAGGCCATTCTGATCTTAAAAGAAGAATGCTGCTTTGTAGTGTTCAATTTATTAGCTCTCTTTTTTTTTTTTATTATATATTTTTTTATTAGCTCTCTTAAGGGAAATCAAAACTATGTTTAATAAAACAGCTTAATGAGGTAAACTGAAGGGCACCTGGCTGGTCAACAGCTGGATACCTTCAACTAGATTGGTGCCATGTGGCAGAACTTTATACCCAAAGCAACTGTACTTAGGTCTTACATGTGCTACCTTAAAACTAATAACCTTGATATCTAATTGATAGACCATAAAATTCACCTCTTTGAATAAAGTGTATAATGCTGTGGTTTTTAGTATATTCTCAGAATTGCTTATGCCACCCTTTCTGTGTCCGAACCACCCTGCAGTGTTGCTGGTATTTCGTACATGAGGAGCTTGAGGCCATCTAGTGTGTGGTGGCAGGGTCAACCTTCCACCCTAGGGCCACCTGATACCAGACTACTCACTGCCCATCCTGACTGCTGGAGTCAGATACAGACTCTCCATTTCTGCCATGTGCACTTGATGGCTGTGGCACCTGCATGCCACAGATGTGTTTCTGAGTTAACCAGGAACAAATGGCTAAAGGTTTTGCCCAGAAACAAGGAAGAAATAAATGAAATTTTGGTTAGAACTGTTAGTAGCCTGGCTCTGCAGCAACACCCAATCTGCTGAAGAAGTTTGGAATAGGTACTTTTTCAGTGAATGTCTACCTCGTGCCACTACATAGAGTAAGGAGGTAAAGTGAATACCTGAAGCAAACTTGGGTCTAAAGAACACCCATCAACTTAGTGAAATATGAACTTAGTTGAAAGATGGGTTTCTCCGCAGTGTTGCTTCACAGAGTTGAATACATGGCAGTTTGGGTTGTGATGACAGCTTATTCCCTCAAATAGCACTGGATTTAGCATTTTTCCTCAAATTATCACTTGGTTTATCTCCTATTCCAGTGGAGCAAATAACAAGCAGGTAAGTCAATGGTCCAAGAGCTCATTACACTTCTAGGCCTAGGTTTTCAAACACTTGTAACCTACTGAAACAAGATGTTAATTGAAAGATGGTCTCTACACAGTGTTGTTTCATAGAGGTTAGTATATGGCATTTTTGTTATCATTCTACGCCTAGGTTTTCAAACTTTCTAACTTAGTGAAATATGAAGTTAGTTGAAAGATGGTTTCTCCACAGTGTTGTTTCACAGAGTTGACTGGCACTTTCGTTATACTTCTAGGCCTATATTTTCAAACATTTGAACTTAGTGAAACGATGTTAGTTGAAAGACAGTTTCCACACTTGTTTCACAGAGATGACTCTATGTCACTTTCCTTATAGTTCCCCACATAGGTTTTCAGACACTTCTTAGTGAAACAAGATGTTGCTTGAAGATGGTGTTTCCACATGTTGTTTCACAGAATTGAGTATGTGGCACTTTCTTATAGTTCTTCACATGGGTTTTCAAACACTTCTGACTCAGTGAAACAAGATGTTAGTTGAAATATGGTTTTCTTCACAGTGTTGTTTCACAGGGTTCAGTATGTGTCACTTCCAGTGTACTTCTAGGCCTAGGATATCAAACACTTCTAACGTAGTGAAACAAGATGTTATCTGAAAGATGGCTTCTCCAAAGATTTGTTTTACAGATTTGACTGTATGGCACTTATACTTCCCCCACCATAGGTTTGCAAACACTTCTCAGTGAAACAAGATGTGAGTTGAAAGATGGTTTCTCCACAGTGTTGTTTCACAGACTTGAGTATATGGCACTTATAATTCCCCACATAGGTTTTCAAACACTTCTTTTTATTTTCTTAATTTTTTAAAACTATACATCCAAGTTAGCACTAATGATTTAAATGAGGAGTAGAATCCAGTGATTCATCCATCCCCTACATACAACACCCAATGTTCATCCCAACAGGTGTCCTCCTTAATGCTCCTTTCCCATTTAGCCCATCCCCCCAGTGACAACACCTCTAGAAACCCTCAGTTTGTTGTCTGTATTTAAGAGTCTTTTATGTTTTGTCTCTGTCCATGTTTTTACATTATTTTTGCTTCCCTTCCTTGTGTTCATCTGTGTTGTATCTTAAATTCCAAAAATGAGTGAAGTCATATGATACTTGTCTTTCTCTGGCTAATTTCGCTTAGCATAATACACTCTAGTTCCATTCATGTTGTTATAAATGGCAAGATTTCATTTTTTTTGATTGCCTAGTAATACTCCATTGTATATATATGCCACATCATCATTATCCATTCATCTGTCGACGGACATTTGGGCTCTTTCCATACTTAGGCTATTGCTGATAGTGCTGCTATAAAAATGGGGGGGGGGGGCATGTGTCCCTTCGAAACAGCACACCTGTATCCCTTGGATAAATACCTAGTAGTGCAATTGCTGGGTTGTAGGGTAGTTCTATTTTTAGTTTTTTGAGGAACCTCCAGACTGTTTTCCAGAGTGGCTGCACCAGGTTGCATTCCCACCAACAATGCAAAAGAGATCCTCTTTCTCTGCATCCTTGCCAACATCTGTTGTTGCCTGAGTTGTTAATGTTAGCCATTCTGACAGGTGTGAGGTGGTATCTCATTGTGGTTTTGATTTGTATTTCCCTGATGATGAGTGATCTTGAATATTTTTTCACATGTCTGTGAGCCACAACTTCTTACTCAACACATGTCCAGATGTCTTCTTTGGAAAAGTGTCTATTCATGTCTTCTCATTTCTTCAGTGGATTATTTGTTGAGTTTGGTAAGTTCCTTATAGATTTTGGATGCTAACCCTTTATCTGATATGTCATTCACAAATATCTTTTCCCATTCTGTCAATTGCCTTTTAGTTTTGCTGGTTGTTTCCTTTACCATGCAGAAGCTTTTATCTTGATGAGGTCCCAATAGTTCATTTTTGCTGTTGTTTCCTTTGCCTCTGGAGACGCATTGAATAAGAAGTTACTGTGGCTGATGACATGATACTCTATATAGAAAACCCAAAAGATTCCACCAGAAAACTGCTAGAATTGATTCATGACTTCAGCAAAATTGCAGGATATAAAATCAACACACAGAAATCGGTTGCATTCCTATACACCAACAATGAAGTGACAGAGAAATCAAGGAATCGATCCCACTTACAGTTGCACAAAAAAACATAAAATACCTAGGAATAAATCTAACCAAAGAGGTGAAAAGTATACACTGAAAACTATAGAAAGCTTATGAAAGAAATTGAAGAAGACACACACACACACACACACACACACACACACACACACA